CTTAAACTACACGATCCTCAAAGAACTTTGTAAACAAAATAGACTTTCGTCGACTGTTCAACTACGAATTCTCAAGTTCTTTGGGCACATCTCTAGAAAGGAAGATTTCATGGAGAGACTTGTCATTCAAGGTCGTGTGGAAGGTAAAAGACGTCGACATCTAGTCCTCACGCGCTGGATTGACCTCATCACTAGCACTACGTAAGCCACTGCAGTACAATGTGCTCTAATTGCTAACAGCCGCCTCCAATGGAGGAAGCGACGACGAGACGCAATCCTGTACATCGACGACCAAGAGTGTCGGACTAAGAAGATTATCTAAATATGAAGCAACTAAATTCAGATGTATAATCACTAGTAATCAAGCAATTTTTAAAGGCTAAAATATTTTTGTATTTGTTTTTATGTCTTTTAGCATTTTTGTATTTGTTAAAGCACTACACATGTTTTATTGCAAACGTTTTATTCAACCTTATAATGGAGTCGGTATCATGGTTGCTATGCCCTAAAAGCTTTATAACACAAATAAAATGTAATTATATATTATATAGCACAATATATATAAAGCATATACATATACATATAGCACAATATGGATAAAGTTATACAAAAGAAAATAAAAAAGTATGTCGTTCTTGTATTATGTGCGATATAAATTTTTCTCAATGGCATTCAATTAATTAAACTCACAAATGCACTGGTCACACAACAGATCTCATGATTTAAAATGTCTCGACATCTCTAGTATTGTTCGCACGCCGGACGCTCGCCGACGCGAGCCGACTCCGATCGAGTTTAACCCAATTCCTCCTCTTCTATTCCACGTTGAAGCCTACAACCGTTTAGGAATCTTCGAACTAACTGGAATAAATACAATGGCAATGTGTGTTAAAGTTTTTATACGTTAACCAGAGCCAACGTTTAGATAGTACCAGTAAAAGAATACTGATTTATGATAATTTACAGACAACCATGACAATGTTAATTGTTTTTGTTAGCGTCTAAAACTCCGATTCTATATTTTCGCTAGTCACTGTTTAGCTTTCATCTGGTTTTCTTTCTTTTTAATTGTCTTTTTTAATATTCAAAATATTTCAATTGAATTAAATAACTTCAAAGTACCTACTACAAAATTAACAATAAACACTTAATAATAGTAGAGTCCTTTACTTATAAATTGGTTAATTTTTTATGTCCTAAACAAAATTGGCATATTGTAACCAACTATAAAAGACTGTTATGTATTTTGTACAACCCTTCTTAATATTTTCACTTCAAGCTACTTCCCACGTCTAAATAGGGGTCGAGGTCAATTGCAAGGGCTGGTCTCGAACTCTTGCGTCAAGAAGCTCTCCGCCAACCGATGCATGAGATTCTCGAATAAACTGTCTATGAATAGTCTATTTTTAACAATTACCATGAGCTACACTGGTATTTAAATACAACATTCATTGTATTGAGAGAGGAACCTAAGCTAAAATCGCGGTGCCAGTATCAATGCAATTGTTAATTGAACGTGCTGCGCTGAACGAAAGGACCCAGTAGAGAACCTGAGTATTTTGAAAATAATAGTAATAAAAGTATTTCAATGAAAAAATATTTCCATATTTGGGTGGTGGACCATGCCCTAATACAAATACATACTGAATTTGAAAATGGTGCTCCGTACATCAGCAAAATACATTGAGATTAAAATCACTTAACTTCATCGTAAAATTTTACTATCATGTTTCTTTCCAAATGTGCCTAAAGAAGTATAACTTGAATAAATATTATTTATGTCATCTGAAAGAAAAGCCAAGAATTCAGATCGCCGTTAGACGTCTAACTTGCTCAGCTTGCTTGACCAACAGGTTTATTTTTAGTCCTTTCCCTAACATGGTTTTTTTCTCGTTAAAACAATGAACTTATTTTTTTAATCCTTGCCGTACTGTAGGAGTCAGTGTGGCTTTAGCCGTAATAATAAAACAATCAAAATTCAGCGGGAGATCGCTCTTGGAAGCAATACGATGTTTCGCTGGCGGAACTTTCTCATCTAAACTTATTCAATATTAGCACAGTGCCGCTTACAACGTCCTTTCGCTACATACGCAATATCTCCCGAAAAATTATTTATACGTACTTCGTTATTTAATTCACTTTATTTGTTGTTTACTTTCCCGTCGTCAATATTGAGATAGCCACTTACTTGTAAACGTAACATCACTCAAACGTGACGAATGTGTGGTAGTCTTGATTAAGTCATAGATTTTTGAAGTTTTTTCGGAGGTAGGAAGTAAAATAATGAGTCGAAATTTTCACCATGCGCCCGCGCAGCGACATGACATTAACACAATGTACTAAATAAAAAATCTCATTAATCTGGCAAAACCTCAAAATATTGAAAGCTTTTTGTTGTTTTTATTTTGTTGCGTGTGTAATATATAAGTACACGTACGTGTCTTTTAGAAAATGTGGACACTTATCGCAAAAACCATTATTGTAAAAATAATTTTATATTTTTCATAGACTCTTAAATACACAATCCCGTATTGTTCTGTGCGACTATAGCCCTTTCTATCAATTAAATCATCAATCTCAAAGCAAACAGTAATACATCGCATAAAATATGAACACAATATTATAATGGTACTCGATACGATACTCGTACTATTATTAGATGAGAAAACGAGATTGAAAATTTTTTGATCTCCGTATTTGAAAAGATTTGAGGGCTTTGGTTGTCCTAGCTCTAAAGAGCCTTGTGCCTCACGTAGAGGTGTTTGTGTGCCCTTGTACATTTAAAGGAAGGCACAGAATAACTTTATTCTTTAGCAAAGTAAATGTTTAAAAGTATAGAATAATCTTATTATTTTGCAAAGAAAAATGTTATAAGAAACAAGCGGGAACTAAAGTAAGGAGAAGCACACGTAGTTATGTATGATCTGTATTCGTCCTAGATGTCTTAAAATAAGACTATCCATAAATCGAACACGTTAATATATTCAGGAGAATGCCAAGCGTGCATATATTTCACGGATTGATATTAAATAAAGGGTCTACGATTTAGATCCGTTTCCCAGTATAATGTATTTGGAACTAAAAATCAAGTTACATACATTTGAATGAATTTGCCGTGTGTGATTAATAAAATTTTAAAGTTTATTAAGCATTTATACCTTTACAATATTCATCAGTTTAAACAAATTTCCCATTATATTAACTTCAAACCATTTAGTTTCATTAACTCTTTGACTACGACAATTATCTAGGTTATATTACTTATACATAGCGTATAGTTAAATAGAGTTAATTAATTTTAATGTTTACAAAGACTTCATTTTCTCTTTTTTCTCATTTCATTTGAAGTTCTCAGATTAAAATGATTTGTAAAATGGCTGAAAAATATAATTTAAAGAATTATTTATTAAGGTAACCATTTGTAAACCCTTTCAACAATGCCGTCATTTCTATTGTGTACGCTTATGTTTTCATAAATATTAAAGACTGGCTACACTGGACCCTGTACTGAGTTTGTCCTGTAAAAGGTCAAGTTAATAAAATTAAAACAAAGATTATAGGATAAAACCATCTTATTGGCTACTTCGGTCGAGTCTTCCGACGCATATGTAAAAGTGAATTTCGTAAGAATATTAGAGAGAATATTATTATAATATAGGATAAGGTGTTATTAATTCATAACATTGTAGTTTACTTAAAATGGGCTAAAGCTTATTCTGTTTTTACATCACTTAATTTGCGGGCTCTAATCCCACTGCGCGGCGCTGAGATCGCGCGAGACGCCGCCATCTTATTACATTAATTAAAATAACGAATGTGGTAAGCTCGAAGGCGGTTTATGGAAACTTCTCTTTTATAAGTTCTGAAATATTTTTCTTGCCCTAATGAAAAGTTTCCACTTTTAAGAATATTTTCCTGTTAGTTCTAAGTAAAACTTAATGAAAATGAGCATGCATATTACACTTGTTTATTAAGCACGCTATGTGACTGGTGTGTGATAAGATTTCAAAATGTTATTTTTAAAATTCGCATCCTAATATTACTTATGTGGCATAAAATTAGCATCCTATTTTTTTAGAAATATACAAAACGTAGTACATGATAGATATAATTATAGAGTCGCCTCGAGATTATTGGTCGCAAAAATACATTAAAAAGAATTAAAGGAATTTCATATCAGTGTGTACATGTTTCCCAATTCATACATTAAATAATTAAATCATGTTTCGAGTATTTATGAATGAAATCAAAATAAGAATAAGTGGTAAGATTTAAAAATTTCAACCTGTGGCTGTGCACAGAACTTCGCTTTAGTATAACATACAACTACAAGTATAAGATGACAGGGCTGGCTGAAAATTAATGAGGTAGCAAATTTTTGTACTCCAATTTATCGAACGAATACAAGCCTAGAATTATAAATTCATAATAATTCCCATGTTTTCTTTTGTATTGTATTTAAATCCATACAATAAAAATATATCAAACTTTTTAGGACTTAACAAACAAACACTACGAGGGATTTTCATTTAGAAACTTAACTCCCTGACTCACTTTGATTACCGCTAACGATATTAAACAACCCTTAAAGATCTTAAAGTATCATTCTAATCAATACAAGGCAAAGGCATTCACGGGCCATAAAAATGTCTTACGGTTTTGGTGGTAGCGAATGCTTTTTCTCATTTCCCAATTACCGAGAGCATTCATTCCCCATCAGTCCTTGCGAGAACCGCACAGTGAGGGCGCTGTTAATTATCGTATTGGTGAGTGTACGAGACTACGGCGAGTGTGTCTCGCGTACATTTGACAGTGGGGTGAGGTATTGGGGGCGGCTTGCTCCAGCTCCCGCCGCGGAATTGGGTCGCGGGAGGACGCAGGGAGGGAAGGCAACTCTCGCGTTTTTACAGCGAAAACGTCCAACGCCCGTTGCCATGAACTAAGCGCACCGCTTCGTACTTATCGCAATTACTGCACGTACAACGGAGGTAGTTACTTACGTTTTGTATTTGGTTCATCTTCGTGAAGTGGCGGCCGAACTCCCACAGGTCCACGCCGAATTTGAGCGCCCAATTCTTGACTCTGCAACAGAAATGCGTTCCGTTTTATCAACGCACACCGCATTGGATCAAAATCAACTGCCCAAAATATAAAAACTTTTTATATACCTAGTTTTTTGTTGTTGTAAGGAAATATTTAGTAAAAAAATCACCAGTATAAGTTGACTCAGCTATTTCAATAGGATGATAGATCATTAGAACAGTTCACATTAGAATGTGAACTGTTTTGTCATCCGTATATTTGTGTTGTAGACCCGTACATCCCATATAGCAATGTGGGATGTACGGGCCTGTATCTATAGACATTGTTGTGATGGGAAGAGACCAATTTAATTAACGGTCCGCCGATACCTGCCGAGTCTGCTGGGTCACGATTGAAAATGTTTTCCATTAATTTTCATTTCCCCTCAAGTGCTTTTAAAAGTGGACATTTTATGGATGTAGAATTAAGTAGGCAACCTTTCAACTCTTTCAATTAAACAGCATGGAGTTATTCTTGGTAAGCAGTAAATTTATATATTATTCGTATTTCATACGAACCTCGTTGCATATAAATAAAAAATTCCTTAAATATACCTCATTCCTCACAATCCTGTTGTACTTACTTTAGGTTCCGAATTCGATTGAAGCCTTGGAGTTTAGATTTATTAGAATGTATTAAACCCATTTTTAATTCAATAACTGCACTTGTCTTATGCTAATGTCTAATATCGTAAATAAAAGTTGTATTTAATATGGAGATTAAAAAACGCGCCAAGTGCGAGTCAGACTCGCGCAAGAAGGGTTTCGTGCCAATATCTATAAAACGGCAAAAAATCTTGTCTGCTGTATGGGAGACCCACTTAAATATTTTTTTATTCCGTTTTTTAATATTTGTTTTTATAGTGGCAGCAGAATTACATCATCTGTGACAATTTCAACTGTCTAACTATCACGGTGTATGAGATACAGCCTGGTGACAGACGGACAGACAGGCAGACAGCGGAGTCTCAATAATAGGGTCCAGTTTTACCCTTTGAGTACAGAACCCTACAAACGTGGATTTTCCTCCACTGACTTCTCACCAATTCGCGTAAAGTACTTACAAATAAAATCTAAAGAAGGAAGAGCAAACATTGAATCAATCGGAAACGCTCGGGCGGCGGGTAAATAATTATGGAATCAACAGCTTTACTTCTCTGAAGCAACCTTACTTCAAGAATATTGGATTTGATAAATTAACTCACTGAGACCTACAAACATCTCAATGATGCGAATCAATAACTAGTACAATGGAACCGTTTCAATTACTTGAGGCCTTTTAGTCATTCAACTTAAACAAAAACGGTATTTTGTTATTATACGTCGCGTATGACATCATCATATTTTTCATATTATTGTATATGCCATCAATTCGAAAGCAGAAGAACGAAATTTCTAATCCATAGTATAGTAGAAGTTTATATTTTTAAACAATATTCGTATCGTGCAAACAATTTTAAAAGAGAACGATATTCTGAATATTTTTGGAATACAACCTGTCTGACTTAGTTATATTTAGATGATGAGACAAAAGGCAAAGGCTTTCTCTATTTCTGTACTGGTTATTTCTATTACGTATTGCTTACCTGTATGAATGCACTTTCGAGATAAATGCAAATTTATTTGCGATATAAATAACAGTTTACATAACCAAATGGGTTCATTTGTGCAGTTTGCAATACAATAAAAAATAGGCAGTTATTTTAATATTAAATCAATGTAGATGTAAAATGAAACTGATGTATGGATAAATATAGTGCATGCATATATGCATGAGATAGTCAAAGCTATTTTCAATCCAGTCCATTTCGCTGCTATATAATAATAAACTTCATACTACTGAAAATATAACATAATTAACTTAGTTGGCGTCATTCACTCAAATTTACCGGAGCCCTAAATCAATGGGCTAATTCGGCTTTATGACTACTGACATTGACAAGTAGCTAATACTAAAAATAAATTATTTTAGAGCTGTCTGTTTATTTTATTCATACTTTTTGTCCAAGCCGTAAAACAGACTATGAAATCTTTATGTCTCTTGATAATATCACATTATCAGCTTTCTAGGCGCGCTGGTCCCTCAAAACGATGTTATCTTTATGTTTTCCGATGTATAAAACAAAGGCCCACCCTATGAATTCTCCCTGTCAGACAGCCACGTCACCGAAAGCCATTTCCTTATTCCGTTTCGTTTAATTCAAGTTGTTCCACAATGTCCTCATTAGCAATCAACGAATATTCAGCAGCCATTGTTGGAGTAAGTTCGGTCGTCACCGGCAGAAGTTTGGGATTTAAAATTGTTAAAAAGTGCCTCGAGCGACGTCACGTGCTCTCAAGAGTCGATCCGTGATCTTGCAGCTTAGGGGTATTGTACGCGAGCACTTTATATTCTTATCCGTAAGTGAAAGTCAGTGTAATACATGAAACGTCCGAATATGTTACATTAGCGAGAAAGTTATATCTAACGCCTTTGCTGATCCTAAAAACGTAAGATTTCTTTTACCAATGTTTATCTACTTAATACGGATACTAAAAAGGATTCAATTGGACTATAATACACGGTAAACATATTTTATTGCCACATAATAGGTAAAAAATTACAGCTGACTTTCTTTCGCCGGTTCTATTCGGCTCTGTGTCTTTTCTTTTCGGAGCCAGCAGCAGTATTTTGACAGTCAATAAGTAAATGTAATGCTTGGTATATATTGGTAATGCTTATTATATATTGAATAAAGATATTTGAATTGGAGATATAAGATGCAAGTTATAAAGGTCTCTAAAAAAGGTTCGTTATGAATGAATGTCTGTCAAAGAAATGTTTTGTCTGTTCCTTTAAATATCCTTCGCGTCGATAGACATACGTTTAATTTATGAGTTTCATAAACTTCGAAGCAAAGAGATCACGTTTTGATGCGATTGCTGTAAAAAAAACAAAGGAGAGAGGAGAAAGGAGATTAAGATGGGACTCTCAGAATATCTTGTTACTGTAATCGGTTTAACCCTAAAGCTGAGTGAGCCGCATTCGCTTCTCACCTGTTTTTGTAATGACAACGTTAGCCGTGCCTGTTTTAGTAGTGGACAAGTGCATTTATTACATAACGATTAACATAAGGTGTAATAACTAATCCAAGGCAAACGTTGTTTTACCATAATTTTTCCGAAAAATAAAATAGAAGTAAGCCGAAAAGTAAGCCAGTTATAAACCTATTCTCATACCTACTGAATATACATAAAAATGTCAAGCCGTTTCGGAGGAGTATATACTCTACGTTTCATCTGGTAATTGAGGTGCCGTAGCACACTTTATTAAAAAGTGGACTATAAACAAAAAACTTTTATTAAAATTTGTAGAAAAAATTACGTGAAGTTGTTAGTCGCTGTGAGAATTGAACCCACGTCTTTTTAAACAAATTTAAATGATTAAACAAATTAAAAATAGATTAAAAAAATTAAACAAAGTTAACATCTTAAGGGTAGGTTAGCACTATAATTTAAAAAAAAAAATGATAAATGGTACGACAACAGATTCACCATAAAATCGATGTTAAAATTTGTTGAGAGAGTAAAATAAAATGACATTTCATATTTACTTTATTAAAATCTAAATAGTTTATGTATATACAATATCATAAAAAATTATGAAAGAATCTTATTTACATTTATACTACTTAAAAAACTTATTACTTAGGTACTTTAAAAAATAGAAAAATTAAATATGATATTTTATTTTCATTTTACTTTTGATACGTGATCAAATCCTATTGGTAAAAAAGTAAAATTATTACTCTACTAAATAAAATAGTTGAAATGTATTTGTAAACTTTCTTACATTGGATTTAACGTTGATTTATGAAGAAAACAAATTTATATTAAATGTAAGAAAAAGCGTTTAACATTTTAATGTCTTTCCTCTTTGAACTTTTTTCTTAGCGCGATGGTATCCCGCAACTTTCTGCGCCGTAACTTTTTGTGGGTATTTAATTCTTTATTTTGCCAAAGCTCAGAGCCTCTCCTTGAGACTGTTTGTCCTCCTAACCGCCGTTATACTTTCGTGGAACCTCATCTGTGACCAACAAAGACATAATTTTAATAAAAGAGGTTTCCAGGTAGAGGTAATTTATGCAAAGAATAATAAAGATTTTCTTGCCTCGGAAAGTTTGCAAGTGAACCAACCGATTTTCATATTGATCTGCGTATTCTTAACATTTTCTTGGTATTGAGTTAATTGTTATGATATATAAATTATTATATCCAGACAAGTAAACTCCTGGTTTTTGGTATTCATTTAATTGATACAACATAAAGGTTATTTTAGCCAGTCACATAAATTCCTGGTAATTCTTATTGGAGAGGTTACGAATTTGTGGAGACTGTATGGGAATTTATAACAGAGACTCTATGGGAATATGACTATGCGGGAAGTCGATGGATGCATGTGGCTCAGGATTGTGCTTTGTGGCAGTCTAGGGGAGGCCTATGTTCAACAGTGACGCGAACAGAGTGAAATGATTATGATGATGTCATAGGTAGTATTAGTGGACTTAGTCATCGTATTTAACGAAAAATGCCTTACAAATAATAAAAAAGTGTGTGTGTGTGTATTATATATATACGCATATAAAAAGTTTGATTCTTTAGCGTAACAAAATCAAAATAACTAAAAATGTATTCCCTTGTTCCAGTACTCAGGTACTCTTTGATTGTGAAAAAGACATTACAAGCTTGCAATTATAGATAAATGTCAAAAATATGTTATTGATTGCAAGGGCAATACTGTGAAGTTTATCATCTCGCTTTTTGGGGTTTGTCGGGTTGTGTGCGCGCGCATCGTAATATTTTACTCTCACATTTTTTCCAAACGCGCCAAAATAAGTATAACTTCAAAATAAACGGTGTTAAAGCAATGTTTGTAATGCACTTTCAATCTATTCAACGGAGTCCAGTGTTGTATTTACTTATCATCATATAGCAAAGATACCATAATGATTAAACGCACTA